GACAAAATCATTATTTCAAGTTACCGATGGCATTACAAACTAATCCCATAAGTCTCGCTATCTCTCGAGTCCAATTATGAACGTCAACGTCATCCAATTGTTTTCGACAACCTAGTATTCCTTAGGATATATTTTCTAGCCCCAAGAGTTCATTAGGGGACATCTAAATGTTGAAATCACATTAAATACCCCAATGGACAGAATCTGTTTTCTAGGTTTCCATCACCGTCCACTCATTTTTCAAATTCTTTTTCATGTCCTTACCTACATTTAACGGCTCCCAAACTTTTACCACACACCTATAACATATATGTGAAGATAATCAGATCATAATGTTGTGACAAATTAAGTGTTTGGAACTTCAAAAACAGTCCATTTTCCACTATACAAAATCAGGCAGTTTTTCCCTTTGACCGTTTTCGGTTTCCATTTTATTATTATGATACCAACAGAATTCTAGGCCATTAAAATCATTTCTACACTCCCTACTTACATATAAAAACGTTCATATTGATATATATAAGTTAAACACTAAGGTGGGTGTATTTAATTGGGATTTTTAAAGACTTTTGGAGACTTTTTTAAGTGGGTGACTTTTGTGGACTTTGTGAAATTTTAAGTAATTTCTATGGATTTGGTAGGAATTAGTAAAAGTTTTTCCTGGATTTGCAGAGATTTTTACTAAAGACTTTTAAAGACTTTCGAGGAATTTTTTTTTTTTAAGGAAATATGCTTTTCACAGTGTTAAATGTGAGATATCGAGGAATATTTATGAGAATTCACAACATTCACTTAAAAACGAATCTTTGAAATTAGAGGGAGAGATAGAGATCAACTAGTGAAAATTTACCATAACCTGATTTGAAGAAAACTCATAGCAAAGATTCAAAGAAATATCTAATTGGAAGAGATGGAGGAAAAACTTAGAGGGAAATAAGAATAGCATACTCTTTTTAGAAAATCTCTCTATGGATGAGAGATTTTGGGAGAAAAATCCTATTTATATTTTTTATTAAAAAGTCTCTGAAAGTCCAAGAAATTTTAAATTTCCTGAAAGTCCCTCTAAATTGAATACCCCAAAACTTGTAGAGACTTCTAAAAAGTTTCAATTGAATACCCCGTAACTTCTGGAGATTTTTTAAAAGTCTATAAAAGTCTCTATTGATTACACTTAAACTTTTAGAGAGTTTCTAAAAATTTCAATTGAATATACCCAAACTTTTTAAATCTCTAAAAGTCTTTAAAAGCCTCGATTAAATACACCCCCCTAAGTATCATCCCAAAATCAAGGTATAAATCACTCAATCCAGCAATTCCTCATCTCTGTCCAGATTACTTTCTTTCAAATTCTTGCAATTAATTACCCCTATTTAGGCATCATAACATCATTAACCACACTCCAACTTAATCACAAACAAGTTTAGATGTTCAAGAAATCATAAATCCCTTAAGAAATAATAGAAACAAACCTCAAAACTGTGGAGTAACAAAGCTGTTCAGAAATTCCAGCTTCTTGTTTCTATTTCTCTTTGACTGTTTCACCCTCTTTTCACTTGGAATTACTTAGGGACGAGTTAAGGGAGTTAATATATTATCTAGGAGGTAAATGAGTGGTCTTTAAATGGTTGAAGTCGTGCATATTACTTAAGGATTAAGAATATCATGGGCTGCAGCCACCTCAAGCAATCAAGGTGAGTCACTAAGCAGGAGCTGTCATCTTGGCTGCAATACTTGACTTTTCTACCATTATTTTTGTGTCCATTTATGATATTTAAGATATATATTCATCCTATATTAAGTCATTGTGGATTAGACACGAAATTTATGCCTTAAGGTTGAAACAATTATATATTAAAGTGAAAAGTCCCCTAGCATGAGCTGTCCAAGTAGGAGGTGGCTTCTTGCAGTCACTTTGACTTCTCCCTTGCACCACATGGAGCCATACGTGACTTAGAAGAGTTATAAATATCTTGTGTAAATTTCTAAGGACTTATAGGACGTGTTGGAGGCTTAAGGTTGAAGGAATTAGAGGTTAAAGTGGCAAGTCGTCACATGCTAAGTAGGTGTTGTCTCCTTTGATTAAATTCTGATTTTACATCTATCCTTGCAGGTATAAATCAAGTGTCATTCGTTTATTTTGATGTGCTTACAATCTATTTCACTTGCATTAAGATCCCAAAGTATTTTATAGATCTAATTCCTCAACTGTTCATTTAATTTCTTACACGATTCTCAACCGATTTCAACAATTCGCACCTCAATATTTATAATGTCATATAAGACATATATTATTACGTTGTGATAATGTCACTTCATCCCTCATGTCC